AGGAAAATTGACTCCCATCAAAGGATTGGAGTTGCATCAGATGGTGGGATCCAAGGTACATTTAGAGGGAAAGTCATAAGGTAGAAATAATTCAGACTGTAGGGAAGAATTACCAGAGTGAAATACTAAGAGGTGTATGAAATAATCTCCTTAGGGAGTGATGGCAGCAGCATCTCCTGGAGCATTTGCAAGTGGGCTGGCAAACCGTGAGAGGATGTGTTGTTCTGGTAGGGAGGAGGATGTTCTGCCTCCCGGCTGGGGCGAGCCTGCTACTCAAAGGACTTGGGTCTGTCAGGATTGGGCCTTTGGGGCTTTTTAAATTTTTTTGCTGTAATTACGTGCTCTGCTGTCTCCTCTTCCTATGCTGATCTGCAAACCTCTGATAAACCCGTGTGTGTGGGGACACCTCACTGAGCCCTGTTCCTGTTTCTGCAGCCTGGAGAAGCACATGCTGTCGCACAGCGAGGAGAGGGAGTACAAATGCGACCAGTGCCCCAAAGCTTTTAACTGGAAGTCCAACTTGATACGTCACCAAATGTCACACGACAGCGGGAAGCACTACGAGTGTGAAAACTGTGCCAAGGTACAGTGAATTTGTAGGCTGCCTGGTGCTGGATGCGCAAGAGCGTGGAAGTGGGGATGCGCAGGGCTGGGATGCAGGAGGATGTAAGGCTTCTGCTGTGATCCGGATGGGTTCTCAAGGGTTTACACTTCTACTTTATAAATACGTTATTTTTCTACCCTCTTTGATTTGGAAATGGCTGTGGGGTCTGAACTGAGCACCGATGCAGGATGCTGAGCATCCCTGAGCTCAGGGCTTGTCTCCTTGCAAGGACTGGTGGGGTGTAAGAGGACCACTGAGGTGGAAGAAACCCCGGGAAGATGCAGGGTGGATGGCTCTCCAGGCTGTGTGCCAGCCGTTGGGACCAGAAACTTCAGGACACTACTGCAATATAAATCAAAATAAGAAATAGCGATGGGCCCCAGCTGTGCTAAGTGAGCACAACTCTCTCATCTCCAGAGCATCTCTATTGCTTCCCAGCACTGGGCTTGCTGTGCAGATTATTTGTATGGGGTGTCATGCTCTGCATTGCTTTTTACCGGATTCCCAAAGCTTGGGCCTTTTGCATGAGGATTTTCTCATTTTTAAGTAGATTTGCTGCAATAATGGGGATTTTATATTGAGCTGACACTCATAAGATGCAGCCAAGCCCTGGGTGCTAGGACTGTGTCGTGTACAGGATTTCTCTGTCACACGCTCAGTTGTCACTATAAAGTATTTCTATTGCAGTAATGCTTAGAGGCTTCAAGCAGCTGGATTTTTGACTCGTTTTGTGTGAAGACCCTGACCTCAAAAGCCCAGTTTCTAATGGCAGGGGCAAATGCATCTGCTGCAGCAGCTGCAAAGGGGTTAACAGATCCACCAAATACTTGGCTGACCCTGGGAAACCGAGGCCCCGTCCTGCAGGCACAGCTCCCATTGATGCCCATTAGCGAGGCTGCGATGCAGCCACAGTTTTTAATCTTAAATACTCCCAAATAGCTCCAAGGTTTGAATTTTAAAAGACTCTTGTAATAACTGGCTTCTTCCGCAGTTAAGTTTCTTGGTTAATCAGTACTCATTTCCTAGCAGGTTTTCACGGACCCCAGCAACCTTCAGAGGCATATTCGTTCCCAGCATGTTGGGGCTCGTGCTCACGCTTGTCCAGAGTGCGGCAAAACCTTTGCCACTTCTTCAGGCCTCAAACAGCATAAACACATCCACAGCAGTGTCAAACCTTTCATATGTAAGTCTTCAACTAAACGTCTTTGGTTAAGTGTTATTTCTTTTGTCAAAAAGCAGCGTAATCTGGAAGCAGGACTTTGTGTTGTGCTCCCTTTGAATTTCCTGCTGGCTTCACGGGGGCTGTGAGTTATTAAATGAGCACTGGGCAATTCGCAGTCCAGTGCAAAGTGTTATTTTCATACAATTTTCCTCTTCAGGCAGACACTCTATGCTGTATAAATGTACCTGTTGTCCCTGGGGCATTTTTCCATGCACAGATGCAAAGAGCAAGTGGGGAGTGAGATTTAGCAAGAAGGAGCCGTGCCAGGCTCGGTGGCCGCAGCATCATTGCTTTGCACCGCGCCAAGCTGGCTGCTCTCCTTCCTGCCCCTCTGCACCAGCAGCAGCCCCCCGCGCTGTGCGCTGTGCTGGATACGGCCCTGCTGGCCCAGGGGAGGAGGTGACAGTGCCAGGGTGGGCAGGGGAGGGTGGCAGCGGCTTGCCACCACGGTCAGGACACACTGGGCCATAGAGTCTCCACAGCAGATGCCGTGACTTTTGCTGGAGTTGGAAAATAAACCTTAGAGGCAGTGAATTACACTCGGAGGAGCTTGCTGCCCTCCTTGAGGCTCCTTTGCATGCCCCAAATTTGAGTTGAGCTGTTAGATCTTCACCAACAGCTGCTCCAGCAGTAAAACTTGCCTCGTATGTGGGCCTGACTCTGTACCGGGCTGTAAATGGGATCCTCAGAGTCTCAGGGGTTGTGTTTACTGCTGAGCCACATCCTGCTAGCAGATGGAGAAGCTGGGTGCACGGGAATGTTGCAGGTTGCTTTCTCTCCCTTTCACCAGGGAAGCAGAGGCAGAAAATATTTAAGAATATTGTTCTTGGTAGCACTAATCTCCACCACGGTCTGTTCAGGTACCTGCTACGGCTTGAAAGGCACCTTGTGACCGCTTCCCTTTCTTGTCCGCTAAACTTCTTAATCTTTTGCTGCTCTTAATAATAATTTATCAAAATACGAACACCACACCTGGACAAAGCTGCGGCCACATGCTAAGATAATTCCTCAAGAGGAGGAGTATTGGCTTGAAAGACACATTTGTGTGTAGTCTGCGTATCTGCCATTGGGTTAGATAATACTTTTGGTTTGGGCTTCTTCAATGAGAAAATGTATAACTAGATCCAATAATAAACATCACTAATAATTTTTAAACCTGATTACAGGTTAAGTAATTACACTTAAAGATTCTAATTATTAGAAAACAGTAACTTCTGGCCAGGTAGGGAGTCTTCAGGCAGTCCTGTTGCAGTCAATGCCCTACATAAAAGTCTATAAGTGGCACCTCTCTTAAATGAAATAATTGCTCAAATGCTCTTTGTTACTATTTATTCTGATAAATCAAAACACCAGCCAGTATTCTTCATATGTACAGTGCGAGGGATGAAAACCCATTGAGCAACCTACGAATAACAGCCATGTAATTGCAGAACAGAAGGGTTTGGAGACCACATGTTTGGTAGGCTATGCTGAGCGATGGGAGGGAGGTAGGGTCACCTAAAGGAGATATCTGTTTTCCACCAGAAGGCCACACACCATGATTTACTCGTACCAGTCTGTTTATGGCAACTGTCTCTTATTACAGTACACCGCCCAAGCTTGAGTGAAAACTCACCAACACGAAGGTAATTACTCACTGCCTTCGCAAAATCTCCAGCCTCTCCAAATAGAAACCACATGCCATAATAGACTGAACATATTCAAAATAGTACTTAGAGTAATTTTTTTAATAAGCAGAAAATATGCAAACTTAACTGCTGGCTAATTTGGGGTCCAGAGACAATCGCAGTACAGAGTGTGCATAGGCACAAGACGAATTTCTGCGATTTGGGAGCCAGATTGGGAGTTTGTGTTAAACCTGGGGTCTGTAGAGCAATAAAAACTGCAAGGAGAGAAGCTTCCCTTACAAGTTAGTTGCTTAAAAGTATGGTGCTGAGATTTTAAGGGTATAATAAGGTGTAACAGGAGAAATCAAACGCAGCTTATGTTGCTTTGATACGTGGAAGCAATTAAAGTTGATAACCGTCCCCCATCTACTAAGTTTAAGCTAAGCTTTACTTGGAAATAGAAGTCATATGATGAAAAAGAGGTAGATCTTATAACACAAGCTTATCTGAGGAGTCCTGGCTCCTGGGAATATCCATGGAGGTCGAGGTGGCGCGATCGATTTACACACAGAGCCTCCTCCAAAATCAGCGGGGCATTGGGTGCGCTCTTCATTGACGCCGTGTTACACACAGGCTTTGGGTGATGGTCCCCAAGAGCAAGACTGCTCTGGGGAGTAAGAGCTTTGGACCTGGCCCCAAAATTTCTTTGCCAGCCTTGAAAGCGCATGGATTTAATAGATTGCCTGTTAAATGCAGGAGGTACCTTGAGCAAGCAGCACCTCATTAAATAGTTTTAAATAACTTTTATGCTCAAAACGGTGAAGTCCTCAGTACAACTGTTGTTTGATTGAGATTATAATAATAAATATTTACTTATTTGAATGGTATTGCCATTATTGGTTTAATTCAGTTTTAAAACTGAAATGAAATATATTTAGTCAAATGATTAATTTGCATCTTCCTTAATAGTTTGTAAGGATATCTCTCAATTGTAAGCATGTATTTTTGCTTTTATGTGGAGTAGAATATTTTCAGTTCTGTTGACTTTTAAATATATTAATGGAGAATAATAATTTAATAATGTATCAATGTTCTTCACGGGAGAACTTCCAAAACTTTAGGAAGACCAAATCTGTGCCAATACACCCCTTCTCACCCACTTACCACTCTAGCCTACCTGAGTGAAGCGTTATATTGAATACAGTCATGTGAATAAGAAGCAGGCCCTCAACAATACCTGGTAGAAGATCAACAGTTCACAAAACATGGTTTGTTTTTAATTATACATTAGCCTAGCCTTGTAAATGGATGCACTGGAGATTTTTTTCCTGGAAAAATATATATGGTCAGATGTTCTGCTGCTATGTATTAGGCATAACTCTATCAGTGTTGGTAGAGTTACCCTGCTTTACGCGTGGAGAGGAGTTGGCCCATAATACCCAAGGTGAAGCTTGTGCAAACCTATGGATATGTCACTCGGGTCACCATTTTGGTCAGTTTAATTTTGGTTAATTTTGGTTTCTGTGATCAACCTGATGGGAGCAGGGGGAGCTTTTTGTGTAAGACCTCAACAGTGAAGGTAAGGGGCCTGATTCTGGACCGTGAAGTCTGGTGGTGACTTTCTTTTGTGGGAGCAGAAACCTTATGCCTGTGATTAGGCTAAAAATAGGAGAAAAGAGCAGAAAAAACAGAGCTTCATACTGCAACAAATAAACAACAAATAGTTCTGTATTAAATAAAAAATAGTTTCATGTTAAATAGGAAAATAAAATATTTTTCACAAAAAGAAAGTACTTATCAAGAGAAAATCAAGTGTTTTCAAGGAACAAGAATTTCTTTTCTTTTCTTTTCTTTTCTTTTCTTTTCTTTTCTTTTCTTTTCTTTTCTTTTCTTTTCTTTTCTTTTCTTTTCTTTTTTCTGTTTTCTTTTTTTTTTCTTTTCTTTTCTTTTCTTTTCTTTTCTTTTCTTTTCTTTTCTTTTCTTTTCTTTTCTTTTCTTTTCTTTTCTTTTCTTTTCACCTTTTGTCCCACTCCAGCATTCATTTTTCACTGTGACATAAACGGGCAGTTTCTCTTCTGTGATACATAAGTGAAATGAAGAGTTAGCAGATGTGGCTTGTACCCATAGAAAGGCATGGAAGAAATCAGGGAGGCTTTGGGGATGAAACCCCTTTGAGAGCAGCTTGGGAAAGCCTGGGGCATTGCTCCACAGTGTGTCCTACTCTGCAAGGAAAAAACCATGACCCCCTCCCCAACGTCAGCATGGGGCCCCATGGTATGGCCGGTCACATTGCTGGGTTCAGGAGGGGCAAATTTGGCTCAGAACTCCCCCAGACGAAGGCAGCCATGGGGACAGGCACAGAATCCACCTGGGAACAGGGCAAAGCAGGTCTTAAGCAGCAGCATTTTGGGGAGATGAGTCATGTCCTAAAAGGGAGTCCTGAAGGATCCCTGGAGGTCCCTGTTCTCTTCTCTTCTCTTCTCTTCTCTTCTCTTCTCTTCTCTTCTCTTCTCTTCTCTTCTCTTCTCTTCTCTTCTCTTCTCTTCTCTTCTCTTCTATTTTTTCCCTTCCTTCATGTCTCTCTTTTCTCTTTCCTTTCTTTGCCATCTTTTTTCTTCTTGCTTTTTAATTTTATTTTTTATTTTCTCTCTTTTCTTTCTCGTCTTTCCTTGTGAATGAAGATTTCCAGCAGGAACAGTAACTGATACACAGCAACAAACATTCTTCCTGAATTACCGCATTGCAAATTTCCTGTGTTTGGGCCCAATTCTGCACTCTTTACCCCACGAATTGTCCCGGGGATGTCAACGGGACGTGAACAGGGAAAACGGGTGGACCAGGCAGGATCAGGCCCTCGAACAATAGGAGCATTGTTGCTGAGATATGAAGCAGCCTGCTGAAGAGGTAAACAGTTAAGAGATGACAACAAGTGGTCAAGTTTCTCAAGGGCAGAGATTTAGCGGAGCAGGAAGGTTAGCGCGGGCCCCGGTGCGAGTGGAAGTTAGAGGACGTGATTGCAGTTCATGGGAACCAAGAGTGCAGGATGGGATACATTCAATTCAGTTTCCTTTGCAGGCTTAAAATAGAGCCATTGTAAATTATGTCAGTCTGTCTCAAATCATGAAAATGATTGTTAAAAAGGCCTCAGAATACACAATGTGTATTGTTGTGTGGCTTTGATGTGTGAAAGATGAGAGCTTATGATATAACACAAATTAAATAAAAATAAAATGCCATAGGCTTTTTCCTGGCTGGAAAAAAAAAAAGGATTTATTACAGAGGGATAACACTGCTTACTGATAATGCTGCTGCCTTGTTTTTAAACAAGGCTGGAGCTGATGCTGTTAGAAGCAAGGTAGTGCAGAGGTATGGATGAATTTTAGCATAATGAAGAACACAAGACATAGCACAGCCTTGAGACTTGCCCAATGTCCCTGCTTGTCCAAAGGATGACAAAAGGGGACATAAAAAGGCACTGGGCAGCTGAGCATTGTCCTCTTTGCAACCACATTTTAACTTATGGACCTGTAATTTGGTTGCTGCCCCAGCTGGCTCCCTAAAAATCAGGGACATGCAAAATCCCATTTGCTTCAACGACATGACTCACCCTTCATAGTGTCTCGCTGTGCACCACCGGGGCCACTTTCAGCCTCCTGCTACTGAAAAGGGTTGCTGGAAGCCGTGCTCCGACGTGCCAAGTTTCACAGGTTAGATCAGGCCCATGAGCTCAAGGTAGATCTCCTCCCCACGAGCTCGAGGTAGATCTCCTCCCCTCTGTGATTTCGGGCTTTCTCCAAGTGCTTCTTTTGTGAGGCTGAAGCTATTCTCATCCCAGAGGAGTTTGAAAGGAAATCCATCGAGCTGTTTTGAACATCAGACATGCAAATAAATACAGCTGCATTCTTAAAGGAAATTGTTGTTGAAATATAGTATATTTTTTTCATGTGCAAGAGACAAATAAGCAATATTAAGACTGGTAAAGTTATTAAGATGTTGGATTTAGAGTTACAGCATCCCAGGCACCTGCAGGGACACTATGCATTAAACGAATAGAAATGCCTTGGACATATGAGAGTACTAGACTGAGGTTGCTCAGGCTCTAGCCTGGCCTTTCATGAGATTAAATTCTTAATTGTAAGTGGGAAAAAACATTGTTTGTTAATAAGGTTATGCACTTGGAAATACCCGGTTGTCTCCTCCTTCACCTCTTACATGTCCTTGTGGTCTTGCAGACTGAAAGCTCTGTGAGGCAGCTCTGTTTATCTCCTACCTGGTCCTACAAGTATTTATTTTAATGGCTAACTTTGCACATGTGAACAGTGACATAAATGGATGTCATTTGAAGACGCAGGTACTCGCTCGCGCAGGAGCACCATGGGTTTGTACGGTGTTACAGCACTGAGCCGCGGCTCTTGGCGGGGCTCTGGGTGCTAATGCAATATGGAATAATGGTACCGAGTATGCAACACTGTGCAATACAAAGAGCAAACAAGGAAACTGTCTTTTAGTGATTTCAGACCTTTTCTGGTTTGTTGGAGTGGGTTTTGGTGCTGTCTTTAGACATTTGTCTGCTTGGATGCCTTGCTTTGGAAGAGTACAACAGCTTTTCATACATTTGTGCACCCAGACTTCTCCTTATGGCTTCCTAATTGACATTTGGTGGGTAAAAAAGTGGTGTTATTTGCAAAATTTGGAGGGTGGGGGCAATTACCATAAAGCCTGAGATGTGTTGTTGTTGTTGTTTACATACAGGTGAGGTCTGCCATAAATCCTATACTCAGTTTTCAAACCTTTGTCGTCATAAGCGCATGCATGCTGATTGCAGAACCCAAATCAAGTGCAAAGACTGTGGACAAATGTTCAGCACTACGTCTTCCTTAAATAAACACAGGAGATTTTGTGAGGGCAAGAACCATTTTGCAGCAGGAGGATTTTTTGGCCAAGGCATTTCACTTCCTGGAACCCCAGCTATGGATAAAACGTCCATGGTTAATATGAATCATGCAAATCCGGGCCTTGCTGACTATTTTGGAGCCAATAGGCATCCTGCTGGTCTTACCTTTCCAACAGCTCCTGGATTTTCTTTTAGCTTCCCTGGTCTGTTTCCTTCAGGCTTGTACCACAGGCCACCTTTGCTACCTACTAGTTCTCCTGTTAAAGGACTACCGAGCGCAGATCAGACAAACAAAAGTCAAAGTCCCCTCATGACAAATCCTCAGATACTGCCAGCCACCCAGGATATTTTGAAGGCACTAAATAAGCAACCATCAGTAGGGGAGAATAAGCCAGTGGAGCTTCAACCAGAGAGGTCCTCTGAAGAGAGGCCGCATGAGAAACTCAGTGACCAGTCAGAGAGTAGTGACCTTGACCTTGACGATGTCAGTACCCCCAGTGGCAGTGACCTGGAAACCACCTCGGGCTCTGATCTGGAAAGTGACATTGAAAGTGAGAAAGAGAAATTTAAAGAAAATGGTAAAATGTTCAAAGACAAAGTAAGCTCTCTGCAGAGCCTGGCTTCAATAAATAATAAGAAAGACCACAGCAATCATTCCATTTTCTCACCATCCTTAGAGGAGCAGACTGCGGTGTCAGGAGCGGTGAATGATTCTATAAAGGCTATTGCTTCTATTGCTGAAAAGTACTTTGGTTCAACAGGACTTGTGGGGCTGCAAGACAAAAAAGTCGGAGCCTTACCTTACCCTTCCATGTTTCCCCTCCCATTTTTTCCAGCATTCTCTCAATCAATGTATCCATTTCCTGATAGAGACTTGAGACCGTTACCCTTGAAAGTGGAGCCCCAATCACCCAGTGAAATAAAGAAGATCCCAAAGGGAAGCTCTGAGTCTCCCTTTGACCTCACCATAAAGCGTAAGGAGGAGAAGCCACTTACTCCCATACCCTCAAAGCCAGCAGCCCCCTCTGCGGCAAGCCAGGACCAGCCTCTAGATCTCAGCATGGGCAGCAGAAGTCGAGCCAGCGGCACAAAACAAGCCGAACCTCGGAAAAACCACGTCTTCGGAGAAAAGAAAGGAGGCGACCTCGAGCAAAGGAAAGCTTCGGAGTCCTCCTTGCAGCACGCCAGGCCCACCCCGTTCTTTATGGATCCCATTTACAGGTAACGGACTGTCTGCTGCCTTTCGGCATCCTTTGGTACAGCCAGTTAGGTCTGCCAGGGCCACCTGCCTGCAGATGCAGGACAAGCCCGTTCCCATCTCGCCGTCCCTGGAGGCATCATCCCACTGCCGGGGCATGGGGTGGTCCAGGCTGCATGCTGACCCATGCACACCGCCTTAAATCCGAGCTGCTCAGAGCAAACCCTGGGTCTGGTAGTGCTGCAATTACCAGGTCTTCATGACTGCCCTCGTTGCAGTGAGTTATTAGTTTAACCTGCACAGCTTGACATGCAGAAGTTGAATATATTCTCTTACCCAGAAACAAATTGGCATCAGTATTGCATATTTGTATATTTATTGTGTATTTGACATCACTGGTTTGCCTCAAATTCGTTTTCTTCCAAAATGCTGCCCACTTGCCTTTACTGCCTTCTGCCTCTGTCTTCCCCTGGAAATCAGAGAGCAGCTCACCAGGGTGCCAGTTGTACACCACCTTCTTAGTTCCTCCTGAATTAAGTACGAGTATTTCCTAAGTATGACAAAGAAGCAAATTTGTCCTAAGGTGTATAAAAAGTATGGAAATTGAGTGATTTCTGCCTTTTTTTTTTGCACTGATTTGAGTAATGGGTTGATTTATTTGGGCATTTCATTAATTGAAGACGCAGTGTCCTTGTGTGTACAAAGCCTAACCAGCAGGCTAGTTAATCTGATCTACCTTATGAAATCAATGGGACCCTTGTCGTTGGCTTGGACGAGTGCACAAGCAGACGCTGTCAGTGAGCTGAGGTTTTAAAAACCAGTGGCAAAATCCTGACCCGTCGGTGTTTCCCAGCAGTGCTGAGATGGGTCTCACCAGGATCTGGATTTCACGTGTGTCCTGTGTACATCAGCCCCTTTGCCCTTCGCCTTTCTGCTCGCATACCTGTAACCAACCAAAGTCATGCATCTAAATTAGTTCAGAAAAATATTAGCCATAAAAATATTTGTCTGTAATATAAATGACTGATTTTACAGCCTATTGTTAAAAAAAAAGTTACTGCCATGTAAATGATGTTAATTTATTACTTTATCTGAAAAAGAAATGCTATGGGGAAAGTTTTTGGAGAATGCTCTCACATAAGACAACAGGTATGCGTTACGAAGAAACAGGATATGGTGCTATTTACTGAGATGGCTCTATTCATGCCAGATTGATATCTGTATTAGACCATAGGTTTTCTTTGCGTCATATTCATTTTAAATGCCTGAAGCAGTGGAAATAACGATCCGTGGTTTACGGTCCTGCATTACAAACTAATGAAATCTGTACCAATTCTGGCAGCATAGCACAAGGCCAGTTGTTACCGAGCCTCCCTTTGCCATGAGTTACATCTACGTATGGACAATAGGATCTGTCACTTAAACCGTACACGTCAGTAACAGAAAAAGCAAAACTTCAAATTTCCACACTGCTTCTGAATTACCCGCGCTGCATTTGGCTGCCTAAATGCCCACATGAGTTGATCGCAGTCTTTGTTGCTGGCGTGTCAGATTCAGCGCGTTCCTACAAGCCCACCTTTCCGGCCCTGCTTGTGCACGGCCATGCACAAGGAGAGGTTTCCAGGATGGTGGCTGTGATGTCTCACATGGGCAGATGAGAAGGGACCCATTGCTCAAGGCTCCTGTTGCCTTGAATTCCTGTCTTCTGAGTGGAGAGCACGCTCGGTTGCCTTATTTCTTCATAAAAGTGCTCAGTAGTTAGTCATTGGTTCCTATTATAATTATTACCGGTCTTTTGAAATGGGATTATTTCCTATGTAAATGGTATTGTCTTCCTTTAATGGCGATTCACAGCCCCCATCCACAGTAACGAGTCGTGTGCAGGAATCGAGAGCTGACTGTACTTCCTTATCATTTACCATTATCTATGAGAAACAAATTACTTGATGTATCATTGACTATTTTAAACATGAGTAGCTGTATAATTATTAATACCTGAGACGGATTCATCACAAGCAAATCTAATTTTAACATTTACAGAGTAGAGAAAAGAAAGTTAACTGACCCACTGGAAGCTTTAAAAGAGAAATACTTGAGACCTTCCCCGGGATTCTTGTTTCATCCACAAGTAAGTATTTTGGGAATTTTGATGTTGTAAACAAGCCTGTTGATGCTTCAAAGCAGGTGCAGAGAAATGAATGCAGTCTTAGTCATTTTTGGATTTCCTAAAACACACAGTTTTTGCTGCACCATTGTAGTGGAAAAGCATAAGCATTGTTCTGAGCTTCTTGATGTTTTGCAGATGAAACAACATGTTTTGATTATAGAGGAAGCTAGATTTCAAACTACATGTATGTTTTAGAACCGTGTTCCTCCAAAACTGTAGCGTAGCTACCAACACTTGCAGCTACCCGTATCTTCTTCAGCACTCCTGTGCTCTGGCCTGTTGCGGTGGAGTCGATATTGTCTACAAGGAGACGATGTAGATTCAAAGTCCGGCCAGCGAAGCTGAGCATCCCAGTTGTCAATATTTAAGGACTCCCAGAAAAGAGAGAAAACCTTCCACCCCATGCTTCCAAGTCTCATAATGCAAATGCTCCATCTCTTTTAGGTAGCTGTTGTGGGCTATAGTGTGTGCAATGACTTTGTAGGATCCCTGCGCCCCCATGCCTCAAGACATGCTATACAAGAGGGCTGCTGTCTTGTTCATAGGCCATAATCCTGCTGCTTATTTGCTGAATAACAAAAATTTAGGAGGGTCTCCCTAAAACGGTGTAACAACTGCAATGTGTATGTAGTATAGCAAGAGGACCTGTATGCAAACTATACGTTGCCTTTCTTCAACAGCACCGCACCCTCATTTTATCTTCCTTCTCCTTGCTTAAGGAGATTTTGCTAATAATTTGCGTTAAACCTTATGCCTGAAATAAAATGCTCCGTGGTATTTGCAAATTTGAACCTCTTGCTGACTATAGGCTGTTTCATCCTAATAATAACACCCCATACGGGTCTTGCATTTTAAGCACAAAACCAGGAGCTGCAGTCTCTGGTTCAGCTTCCTCTGATTCCTGGGCAAACCATGCCAATAATCTGCTACAGTTTGGGTTGGGTTTTTTTTCAGTGAAGGCAACAGTTATGCCCTAGGTTGTATGGAGTATATCCTGAAATATGGGACTTCTGGAGAACTGGGAAGAGCAGCTGATGGCGTATATAGTTGCAGATACACAAACATAATGCTATCACATAGGTAGAGAGTGCAGAAAAACACCCTGTTCCAGTCCCAATGCCTGTAGGAAGTGAAGGGTCTATTAAGTATTAAAATTATCGAGAATCTAGGTAAAGGATTTAATAGCAGCTCAGCACCTTGTGCTGAGTTACCTTATTTGCCCAAGTTACAAAGCAACAAGTAAAAATTCCTGTTTCATAGCAGATAGCACTAATGCACAAATGCACAAACAGGAGCTCAATTCTCTTTGTGTCCCCTGGTGTAAAACCAGGCAGGTTCCTCTCCATCAAATGAGTGGTTCTGTTAGAGCACCTAAGGGGCTGTAAAGTAATAGTAAATTGTTTCAATGAGGGCATTTTAGGTACCATATCAATGGAGGAAACAATATTATTTTGCTTAGTGCTAGCTAGCTTTTCAGAAGGTGTAAATCGATGTCATTTAGTGAAGTTGGATCAAGGGGCTCTGAAGGTTTTGCCGCAGGTTGGTCTGCTGACGGTGGTAGGTAGCGTGGTCAGTGGGTGGGAAAGGAGGCTGTTTGAGTAAAATGTACTGTTAGGAGTTTGTGGTGGGCAGGGAAGGAGTTGGATACTCTTCTATGTAGCGTTGTATGACTCTTGAGTTACATGGGGCACTGGAGGAGGGTTAATGGGAGTTAGGCCAGGATGCCGTAGGCGTGCAAGTGAAATGGAGACATTGGGCATTTTGCCATTAGTGGGCAGGATGTCGGGATTTCACCCCTCGTGTTTTTTCACAGAGAGTTGGTTAAATCTATTGTCGGTGCCCAAGGAAGGTCCCAGGGTGGTCACCAGGTCCATCAGTGTGAGCAGGAGGTGTCGGATGCCACCTCCCTGCTGCGGTGCCAGCCGAGGTGAGGCAGAGCCAGCACCCTCTGAACACATGCACAGGAGGGCACAAATATGCCTGTTATACACTTTTGCCCATTCCTCCACGTTTCTCACTGTGCAATAGAAAAAAAAAAAAATCCATGGTAAATACTGGCTTTCATCTTATCACTTACCTAGCTGCTAGGGATAACATCTTTAACTTGGTGTGAGATGGATGGATACAAAAGTCATGAATGTAACATGCACTCTCAATACATGATAAAAAAAACCTAAAGCACCATCACATGTCCTGTCAAAAGAGTAAATGCCAAAATCTGCTTTATTGCTGACTTTAACAGAAAGGAGTCTCCTGTTTGCAAAGGCAGAATTTGGCTTGGTATTTATAGAGGACTGGGGAACGGCTTGCAGAAAAGCTCTTTTTCCTTTATAGTCCTGTTCACTCCTGTAAAAGTACAGGTGTGGATTGCACCTTGAGTTTTAATTTTCTGCTGGCAGGATTTACCTATGTAAAATATGAACAAAATTATTGTTTGTGTCCCACAAGTTTGTGTTTCTGTAGGTGAATTCATTTCTGAAACTTGCCATCTGATGAAGCCAGAATTTTTTTTTAACTGGATAATATGACAGCTAACAGATGGATCTTTAAAATAGGTTGCTGAAGTAGAGATTAAAGACATAAACCCTGCAGTCCTTACCCTGTCCCTGCCTGGGCAAAATTCCTCCTGGTGGCAGTGGCCTGAAAGCTATGAAAATTAGATAATTTAACGGTATTTCACAATAATTTGCCATTACAAGGACTGCATTTTTAGGGAGGGAATATCCCGATGAAACAAATAATTCAGAATAACATCTTAATTGGTATCTTTAAATAAAATCTTAATTAGTAGATTGATTGCAATGAGGGTTCCAATGCAGGAATAATGTGTTGTTTTTGTTTCAATTTTGCTCCCAGTTCCAATTGCCTGATCAAAGAATTTGGGTAAGTTCATTGCTTATATTTTTGATTTAATCATTGTGAAATAAATTGCATAAGAAAAATATAATATGAAAGATAACTTACCACTCAATTACGGAGTGTGCCACACTTTCCTACAGAGTGTTGTAGCTGTAGTGGATAAATATCCTCTTATGTCAAATTGGCTTTATTTTTATCTACCTAATCTTGCCGGTTTTATTTGGTGAAGGCAATGGGAGCTTTACCTGAGCGAGGGTTTCAAAATGCAGGTTTTGTTTATACTTAACTGAAATTGTTCCAAGCCATTTCCTTCAGAGATTGCAGTGAAATTTCCAGGCTGAAATCTTGTTAGATTGCAACAGTTATAAATATTTAATCTGCATTTGAGACATTAAAATACAGAGCCTCAGAGGACTTCATGTTTCTATCTCTCATTGACTTCAGTGGGAGTTTGTCAATTTAACAGCTTTGAAGTTTTGAGCTTAATTGCTCATTGCTGTACTTAAAGCACAAATAAAACACCCATTTATTTGCTGTGTTTGGGTCAAATTTGTCCTGTGTGTATACTTACATCGTCCCCCTTATGCGAACAGGAATTGTGCTTTTAGTACTATGGGATAAATTTGAGCTTGCTCTTCTATTTTTGTAAAACGTTATTTTTAATATGTCCAAATTGTTCATGAAAAAAAAGCCACAGCAACTGCTTTTGCAGATGCAACTCAAATAACACCGTGTTTTGCTCTCGTATTGCTGGCTCCTCAGCTGCAGCACTGAACCCATAAATACTTGTCCCAGATTTTTCCCAACCTTCGGGCTTCGGAGGGGAGAGCTGGAGCCAGCCGGCTGCGGCTCAGGTCCTGACTCACTCTCGCTCATCACTTGCAGTGAGACGTGGACTAATTTCACAAGACGAAGCCAGAATTTCGCAAAACGAGATCTGAAATCTTCACGTACTCTTCCCCACGTGCGTCTCTGTACGGGGCTAGCGCAGGAGCCCTCAAAGGTGCTGCCCCTGCAGACTGGCACTTAGCCGTGCTCTCCTCTGCGTGCCATCCATGGCACGCTTCAAAAGCAGGGATGGACCTTTGCTTTGCATACATGTGGCTTTAATCCCATTTTCTTCCTGTAAAGTGATGGTTTGTGCAGCTGCAAAAGATCCTGAGATGAAAGGAGCTAAGCAGGCACCGAAGGACTCCTGTGAGCATCCATAGACGCTGAATGAGCTCAACAGATAGGAGGTAGGGTTAGATGCCAGACTTGGAGAGCACAAGAGGTGGTTCCCAAACATTTTCTTTGCAGTAGAGGGAATTCAGTGTAGCACATGAAGGGGCCGTGGTAGGATTTGTGATTTGGCCTGGGCACCCTGAATGCTCTGCTCTCAGAAAAGTGGCTCTATTTGGGCATATTTGGGAAGTTAAGAAAACTGGTGCAGTCTGTTTCTTCTGTCTGCTTCCCTTGACATTGGCTTGGTCCTCAAATTTCTATCATCCTGCGCTTTTTTTCTGAGCATATGTCTCCTGGCCATGCTAGTGCTTTGAGCAGCTGCAGCAGAAATAGGTATTTAAAACATAAAGTGCCTAGAGCAGGATGCTGATTCATGGATGAATCTTCATCTTGAGAGATTTGAATATGTCACATGAGCCTTTCTATCTCAATTCACAGTTGCATGTGCCACATATTTCAAGATTATTTCAGATTGTTTATCATTGTTTGGCAGGAACCCTATAGTGCAAATCAACGGGCAACACCCTCTCTTGAATGGATCACGATTTATTTAGTCTGTAGGCTCTTTCATCCCCTTCTGGTCCCATCAAGAGAAGGTTGCTATAAAGAGGTTCAGACTTTATTTGCAGTAGCTTTGTGGAGAATCATTGTAAATAATTAAAATAATTTTACAAATAAATGAAAAGAAATTCGGTGAATGCATTAACAAAGCTTTTATTTTACTGGGCTTATTTTAGGGCACGATCCGTTCTGTTAGATCAGCTAAATCCCCACCAACTGCATTAATACAAATAGAGTTATTCTGGAGCGATACTGCAGATCAGCAGGAGTTTCTCGCTACTGCTTCATAAAGCTCAGCCACGTGTGATAGGTCTCTTGAACGTGACTATAGCTCGGCCAAGTTCCATGGCTGGATGGCCAAATACACACAGTTTCAAGACAACAAATTTACAAGTTGTGGTTTTTAGAGAAAGCATTATAACTTGAACTGGGGAGGAAGAAATCCTGAGCTCTAGTAGTTGGGTTTTCAAGATTTCTCTAAATAACACTAGTAAAAATAGAAAGCAAACATTTGAACAATTTTTTTCCCATGAGTTGCAGCCATAAAGTCAGTTGTTTTTGCGATAATACCGATGAAGGAGTCGCGTTTGTAAAACATGAGGTCATGTAATTCATGACATTGTCTGCTAGATTATTTCATATCATCGGGTTATTCTTAAAAAGCAGCAACAACAAACCTTTGCTTTATTTATGCCAGTTTTTCTTCCGTTGGTTAATAAATTTTAAGACAAATATTCAAGGCCCCTGCTGATGATATCTTGCCCATTGAAATGTTTATAAATACTTGTTTTAGCCGATTATGGTAATGTCTGCATTTTTGAGTCGGAGCTGGGGAATTGCGACTGCATATTAGTTTGCGTCAGTAGGAGGTTAATAGCCTCTCAGGGAGCGGGAGGGAGGTGGGGGAAAGCTGCTTCCTTTTCCAGACATCTGGACGCAGATAGAATCAACAACTCTCATATATGTAAATCAAAAGTTACTGTTCTATATAAAATACTGTCATTCACTGATCTCAGATTAGGAGCAGACATGACTTGTCCGTAAGGCAATAGCTGTATGTAAAATGTGTAATAGGATCTTCTCGCTCTCCTACCTCCTTGGAGAGCTTTCTCCATGGACATGGCAATTACACTAATCCATCCTTGAGGTCAAGCGGTGCCTTCCTCCCTGTGCCCTGTTCAGGGATCACCTCAGCCCTTGGGTGCTCGGCTGGGGTGCAGACCCCTCCCAAAAGCACTGCCCAGTGGCTTGAGCCACATGCCTGCCTCCTTGGTAGTCCCCATGGACCATCCCTGGAGAGATGAGGTGGCCATGAGCACCCACCTAACCTCTGAGGACAGATGCTATTGCTAACAGCTTGCTTCAGGAGTTTGGTGGGTTGCTGACCAGTAGCGTCTCCATGGTCAACACAGCTCTTGTAGAGGCAAGTCTTGCTTTACCATCAGTAGTAATGGTGTTTTGAAGGAGTAAGAGCTACTTCAGTTGTGTTTCAGCTGAAAGAGGGAGTTTCATTGCAGGAGAAGGAAAGTCATGCCCTGGGTTAATAATTAGTCAAAAAAAAAAAAAAAACAACTTGAAAAAAAAGGGTAAGAATAAATTAGTGATTTTCACAATGATTGAAGATTATCAGTGAGTCCACCTCGGGGCATCACTGGGATCTGAACTGTGCGGTATGTCTGTATATGACATAGGAAGAAGGGTGACCAGGCAAAGAGCAGAGTTTGTGACTGTTTATTGAGAATAGCTAAAGCCAAAGCTGACGATGAAGATTTTGCTGAAGATTCACAGAAAGCTGAGTCACCAGGGATTAAAATAGCAATAAAACTCCATGTCAGTAAGTACCTAGTAATACTGAGGAAAAAGTGTGACTCTTAACTTGTGTCATTCAGGAAAAAGATCTTGAAGTTGATAGTTTTATGAAAATATCATCTGAGTGCTTAGCAGAAAGGAACTGAAAGCATCATTATGTTATACTGCTTTCAGGTCTTGAATACAGCTGAAGTCCCTCTCAAAAAGGACGTAGTAGAATTAGAAAAGACACAGAAAAGTGCAACAATGATGATCAGAGGTAGGGAACAGCTTCCATACAAAATGAGACTAAGTAGATTTTGATTTTTTCAGCTTGGAAAAGAAATGCGCAAGGGAGCTGTGCCCCAGCTCTATGAGACCATGAATGGTGAGCAGAACCTGAATGAGAAATGGTTATTCATTAGTTTTAACAATACAAAAAAAAAAGAGGGGCACCCAGCTGAATTATCAGGCAAAAGGCTTAGAAGGAACAAAAGCCAGTATCTTTTCATATGCACCTAATTAAATTGGTGAACTCTTCTTGACAAAAATATAAATGGATTCAAAAAGGGTTTAGCCAAATGAATGGGAGCCGCAGCCACCAATGGCCATTCAACACCGTCATCGAGATGCAACCTCCAATTAAGGCTCTTGCACCTCTCACTGCTGGTGTCTTACAGAAGACAGCGGGGAGAAGGTCTGTCCCTTGCCCGCCCTCCTGCGCATCCGCTGGGGCCACTGCTTGAAACCGGGGTACTGGTTTCCCAAAAGCGCGTGTCACAGGTTTTTTAATTCTTGCTTGGTTTTGCTGCCTGAATTAGTCCTCAGCGCGACAAACCCCAGATTTCATATTACCCAGTTAAGATTTTGCAATTAGAGTGATGAGTGGGGGCTGTCTACCTGAATATAAAGTCATGGAGCGCGTGTTGTGGGTCTGGGATGGAAAGAGTTTATGGGCTGTAACCAGCCCGTGCTGCCTGGGTGCCCATCTCGCGATAGGGAATTGCATCCTGAAGGCCCCGAGCACCAGCACGCTCCAGGACTTCTTAAGAAAATGCTCTGATTTTGGTTCCTGAGCCCTATCTCTAGCAGATGGTAACTGCTATAATTAACCTGACAGCAGTGGAGTGCCACCGACTTGTATCAGCAAAGGCTTGGGGCCGAGCACTTCCCGTTGTTGCCGGTGCATTTCTTGAAAATTATAAATCATGCAGGTGACTAACTTGGTCAGTCTTTAAAAAAAAAAAAAAAAAGTAACAAACACAATAGTCATCCCTATGGTGAGAAACATATTTTTGGAAAGCGAGTAATACTTTAAAATAATTGGAAGGGCTTGTGTTTCCTCTGAGTGAGGGATTTAAGATTAGATGCTGATTTCATACCTATTTTGGGACTGATGTAATCCTGGAGGCACTGTTGGAGATAGCGCTCATCTGCATCGCTGTACGTTAGAGAAGAATCAGTCTCAATTTCTCCTCTGCAAAATCCTGGAAATAAGAACTGAAAAAAATAAGCATGACTAAGCCATTTTAAATGTAAAGGGGAAAATAGTTGCTTTAATATATTACTGTAGGGGACCATGTACATGAGAAATGGTGATCCAAAAATGATTTAAAACCACTAGATAATGAAACTGACTTGAATATTAAATATACATAAATAAAACATTTATTATACTTCTCAGTGCTCTTATTATTCTTCACCATAAATATGTGCTATCATAACCCATGCACTGTCTTGTCACTGCTAATCAGCCCGAAGGCCAAAGGTCATTTTTCATTCATACCATTTATTTTCCGCAATTGCAAAATAGAAGAATGAATTCTTGTGGGGAACAATTAGAAGGAATTAAAGGCAGTGGAAAGACTGTTGTAAAAGCTTTAAGAATCAATTCTGACTAAAGAAAAAGATGAAGTCGTATAAAAAGAAATATATGGTAATGTTGAGTTGTATGGGTTGATAATGACATCTCGGTGCCGAGATAGAATTACCTCCTCTCCCAGCAGCATCATCATTACATATCTCACGCCTGTGATCAGTACACGTCAAAATCCTTCATATTGACAAATGTGCTGTCCACTTGCATCTGTGGAGAATGTTTTAGCAGCTGAGTGATTATGAATCAAACCCCAGAGCTTACAGCCCCTACTGCCTTGCAATGCTTTCACATTTGTTGCCTGACAAGTAAATGTATCTTGACTTCCCTCTGAGATTTTTTTTTTCACTGTGTTTGATGAAAGACATTTGGCAAATTGGCAGTGGTACCCTGTACATTGCAATTTGTCCTCAGCATTAGGAATCTGAGCATGAAATGAGAGGGCAGGCTACAGGCTAAAGGGAAAAAAAAACCCAACCCAAAGCCAGAGCTAACCAGCAGGTGAATAGTCATTCCAGGAGACAAACGTGCAGTTCTGCCCATTAAGATAAAATTTTAAAAAACCCAATAAATGTGCAATTCTTCCCATTAAAATAAAATTTTAAAATAAAATTTTAAAATCCCAACAACTGGAGCAGCCTCTTATGGATTTTGAAGAATGGGCTGGAAAGGTGTGCTCAGCTGAGGAGCGTTCAGCATCTTGTCCTTCATATCATTTCCTCCTTCATTACAAGTGAGGTATTGCACAGGGCTCATGCTGTGGTTTTTATGCTCTGTAGGTGAGATCTTGGTTTTCTTTTTTTTTCATTTGTTTGTGGTGTTATGAAGAGGCGGATGGTTACTCTCACCTGTCAGTAGGCTCAGCAGCAGTCTTGAACTCTCCAAGTGACAGTGTTTGAGGTTTTGGAGCAGTTCTTCATGGTCAGTTGCAGACACCTTAAAGGAAACCATTCTCCGGAAATTATTTAATGCCCACTCCCTGAAAATTAAAGCCCTTTAAGACAGCGAACCAAGAGTGGAGGCATCTCAAAGTGCATAGCATTTAGAAGCAACTAAAGGTAGAGCAGGAATATTAAGAAGTTGTAGAAAAACGGGATAGGCGTCTAACAGGTAATGTAAACACATAGCACCAAACCCACCAAAGCTTCATTTCTTATGGCTTTATCTCATGATCTTTGACTGTGATGGGCAAGAAGACTGGACTGAGTGGTTGGATGTGGCTGGGAGACTGACGGAGCCTCCCTGGATCTGGCTTGTTGCAGCCCTTGGTTGAGCTAGAGCATTCATAAGGTGTCCTCTGCAGTATTTGTCCTCTGCAAGTCCTAAAAAAACCCCCCAAAACCCCAAACCAACAACAAAAAAAAATTTGTAGGAATTCAGGTATTCTTGGGCTCTCTATTTTTTCTGTTGATTTGGTCAAAAATGGCCAATGGTTTCAGTAGGTGGGATGCACAGACTCATAGGCACACACCCACAGAGCATGACTGAATAAGCTGGAATTTTATAGAAGCTGAGGCTTAAAAATAAGAAGAAATGATCACTGGCTAATTTAGATTTTGCATGGAAGCAGCTTTCCATTATAGCAATCAGGACAGAAGTTCTGCTGTGTGCTGGCCTTGCAGAGAAACAGCATCCCGCTGTAGCAGTTATGGGCATTATTCCAAGTGGAACAACATCATGGCCTCCACCTTGCCTAATGTGCCCCATAATTTTTGACCGCAACTCTATGTTTGCCTTTTTTTTTTTTTTCCTTTTTTATTTTCCCTTGGCAGTGTATGTCATTTGTGTTTTGGGTTTCCAGTGAGGGCAGAAAGCCGAAGCAGTATTCACCATGACGGGTTCTGTGCTGTCTTCTGTTGCAGATGTCAGCTATAGAAAACATGGCCGAAAAGCTGGAGAGCTTTAGCGCCCTGAAGCCGGAGGCCAACGAGCTGATCCAGTCGGTGCCGTCCATGTTCAACTTCCGCGCGCCGCCGAGCGCCCTGCCTGAGACCCTGCTGCGGAAGGGCAAGGAGCGCTACACCTGCAGGTAGCCCCAAAACCGCCCCGTGCTGCCCTCCCGGGCTCCCAAAATCCCCCCTGCTCGGACAGTTTCCAATGAAACATAGAAAGCGTTTCACTTCGGGGTTCTTATTTATTAAATTACTAGTGTTATGAAACAAAGAGTTTGCCCTGTATCATACCGGTTTGATAAATGAGGTAGAAACTGTTATATAAACAATTCTTTTTTCCAAATTTTCTCATCACTTTCATATGCACAAGCGTGCTTTCATTATTGATTTCTTTGATCGTAAACTACAGACGTGTTTTTTCTCAGGCTTCTGGTTTTAATATCCAAAGGGATCAGTGATAAAATACATGACTTATTAGGACTTATGTGTACCCGCTTAAAAAAAAAAAATACAATGAAGATAGTCATTGTACGTGCAACCAAAATGAATGGGAGCCTTGTTGAGGAGAGTAGAATTAGCTGTGTGGGTATTTTGAAGGCTTATACATCAGGTTGTGAAAAAATAAATGGGACGTTAGAAATGAAGGGATGCAATCTTCAAAGTCATCACGTGGAGCAACCACCGCCCTCATTCACTTAAGAGAGCGCTGCGTGTGCTCTGTCCCCCTGCAAAAATGGGCTGAATGTCGTTAATAGAACTGGGCCAATTATAAACTGAATCTTAATATGTTACTTAACTGAAGGGGGAGGGCTCACGATATTTTTATTTTTTTGCCATTATTGTTCCTGTGACATATTATTGAGTTTGGAGAATGGGTTTTAAATTGCATTATTTAGCTCTGTATATCATCTCCAGAATGCGCAGGCGTTTGACACTGGCATATCAGTTTATCTGATCTTTTTGAAAACATGCCACCTTCTTTCAAGACATGTTGTTATAGAAACATACCTTGATGGATTAGGTCTTTGAGTCTTGTCTGCTCCGATCCTATTCAATGCACAGAATGATGTCACGTTTGCTGACATGTAGAATTGGTTGAAAGGTTTGAAATTTGCTTACATGGAGGCAGAAATCCAAGGCTTTAATAACAGATTCTCTTGATTCCGAATCTGAATGTGACAGATAATCACCTAGTGAGTTCAGAAATTTTGGGTGATCTTTAAAACTGGTATGTTTTCATATATCCCTTGCTTATGCACAAGAAAAGCTGGTCGGTGCCAGCAATTACAGTCTTGTGAGTGTGTGTCTCAATCACTTAACGTTTGCTGAATGCTTTTATTGAAATGACGTTACAGTGAAGCAATACCAATAGTACCATATATTAATGATTCAATTTGGGCTATGCATCTGGGGCAGCTCAAATAGGGACGAAGCCATTGAAGGTTGCATTGTCTTATCAAACCTTTTCTTATCACAGATACTGTGGCAAGATTTTCCCGAGATCTGCAAACCTAACACGTCACCTGAGGACGCACACTGGAGAGCAGCCCTATAGGTACCATGACCCCTTACCTATGTCTGTGGTGTGGTTAAGTGAATAAAGCAAGGGAATGAGTGCTCAACAGCCTTGCATGGCCAGCTCCAGCGCTCGCTCCTTGGCATTGGTGACCCACCGTTGCATTTTGGTCTCAAACAGGGCTTTTTGCATTCGATGCTGATATTCAGCATTGGAGCTGCGGAGATGGGGGAAGGTTTTGGTCCTAGTTAGTGAAATTCTTTTGGCTTAGGCAGTCTCCCAGGCACCATCCGCAAGTCCTGCCTTTGCCTCGTGGGATAGCTGGCACTTCTGAACCAGCATGGTTGAAGTGATTTTTAATAGGGCTCATGGTCATATTTTCCCTTGCAAAAATGTTTTTTTTTTTTTTTTTTTGTAAGAGCTCTGTGGTGTTATTTGCAGCCTGAAGTTGGGTGTTTCGTCAATCATCTGATTTCTGAAGGGTCCTGGTTGTGAAGGCGTTACTGTATTTATTTCTTTCCTGCCTAACCCGGATCCTTTCTGAGGTCTGCTTAACCAAAACCCATGTGGGTGTACTCTCTTGTTGATAAAGAGTATGTGTGATATTGTATCCAGGACAGTCACATGCAGAAATGTGTATAGAAGCTTCACCTTACTGAAAATGAAAGACTAATTTAAATCAACTGGAAAGAAGCCAGTTCATGTTCCAGTAAAGCAAATGCACCAATTTCTGCATTTTATGAGCTGTAAAGAGCAGAGTAAGTTCATTGTTTGTGAGGAAACAATATGTTTTTTGCCTCTAGTCTCTCTGGGAAATGAGATTCACATCTAATTTTATTGAAGAAAGGGCTTGATGCATGTTATGCTCATCCACTACATAAAAGCCACGAGCAATTAGTAGCATAATGGACGATTTCAGCACTAAAAAAAAAAAAAAAAAATTGACATCATTGAAAAGCGTAAGAGAAGCACAGAAGAAGTAAAAGACTGAAAAACTGAAGTGCTGAAGACTGTTGGCTAGTCGCCAGCCAGAGAATTTGGAATAGTTATAGTATGACTTAGTAATGGCTTAAAGAGCAATACAGTAAAGGCTTTAGGGACTCCAAATCGCTACAGAGTATGAAAATTGATGCCTCTGGTACCAGAGCGATAGACTAAACTACTCACATTGGCACAGTATTAAAGGTTGGGATTGTTTATTGCTGGTTTTTGCAAGATAACCAAATTTCCTCTGGGATTAGCAATCGAGCAAGCTAATTCCGCAAGAAAAGATTTAATCACACAGTATAATTTAGAATAGGAAACGAAATAGCCCTTTTTACCTTATTTGAGCATTAGAAGAGATCGGTTTCATGTTTTTTCCAAAAGTGTTTAATTGTGTTGTATTGGCAGCACATGAAACAATAGAGTTATTGCTCTACTGTTTTCAAACTTCCCAACTTCGCGTGCAACAGTTTCAAAAACATGGGAATCAATTACCCTAGCTAATTTGATGCCATTAACTCTGAAATATTATGCTTATTCCTAAAGGCAGTATTTAAAATATAAAGCCTAATGTGAATTAAAGCTAAAAAACCCACCGTAGAAGTGACGTCTCCATTCCAAGAGCACAGCTCTCCAGTTATTCAGCCAAAACTTGTCTTTATTTCAGGGAGGGTTTTGCCTCAATAGGGACCAAGGAACTGCAGTTGGATACTGAGGCTGAGCCCGGAAGGTGCCTTATGTCTCTTAGGACAAATCTTACATTTCCAGCTACTAACAAACCCTTTTCTTCCCACCTGTTTTTGCTCTTTTAGATGCAAATACTGTGACAGGTCCTTTAGCATATCTTCTAACCTGCAGAGACATGTCCGTAACATCCACAATAAAGAGAAGCCATTCAAGTGTCACTTGTGTGACAGGTGTTTTGGTCAACAAACCAATCTTGACAGACATCTAAAAAAGCACGAGAATGGGAACATGTCTGGTATGTATGCCTTTTCCCTCCCCAGCATGCCCTACGTCCCACCAGTGTTCATATACAGGGACCTCACGTTCACTTTCAATACTACTGAGTGTCAGTAGGCACACGCTGCTCTGCGCTGTCTGCTCCGATGAGTGGGTTTTTGGAAAATATGTAAGTGCCTAAGCTCTGCTGACATTTAAAGTGCTTTGAAAATCCCAGCATAAACTCTACCCTTGTATAACTTAATACCACTAGATGATGTCTTTTCTTTTGGTTTTAATTAAGCCAACCATAGCATTTTGAGAACAGACTGGGAAAATTGGTTTAATCCCATCTCTGCAATCACTTGGCTTTCAATAGGAGTCCTAGATTTAGAGTCTCTGGGGGCACTCTAAAAGATTTTCTTGGCACCCTCTAAAATATTCCCACTGTCAGGAGCTGAAAAGCGCTAGCTATTATGGAGGTAATGGTGCCTCCCAAGCCCCAAAGCAAATTGGTCACTGCACAGCAGCAGCAAAGGCAGCGACAGGTAGTGGATATCATTGGTCTGGTTTAGGGATCTGCAGGGTTTAATAAAAAACCCTGTCTGACCTCTTTCCAGTCTACGTTTTGCTCCACTGGAAATAACCAGGTTCCTGCAGTGAATGCAGAGCTGTCTTTTCCCCAATGCACAAAGACGCCTGTCACTGGTCTCTCAGTGCTAATGAACCTCGGTGATTATGTCAATGACTGCTCCATATTTTAAGCAAATCTGCATAATTAGTAGCTAAAATGAAGTTCCATTTGCTCAGTTCAGCCATTGGTCTAACACAGTTATTGACTGACAGTCGTGGAGTCGCAAGGGAACAGGAGGGAGATGTTGAAATAGATACTTGGCAAAAGCAATTATAAACCATGGAAATGGCACCCAGCGTGCAAGCAGTCATTTTGGATGGAAACCACCTTCGCCCATGGATATTAGTACTTCCCTTCTAATTACCAGTTTCACAGCTGATAGATCACTATGACCAACTTTTCTGGGTCTCACCCATTTTAACCATCGTTTCAATTTCAATTTGATTTTAATGGTTAAATACAGAAAATGTAAAGGAGCAACAACAGAAGTCCTCTATTTTGCTTTAAGGTACTGCAACATCTTCACCTCACTCAGAACTGGAAAGCACAGGGGCAATCCTAGATGACAAGGAGGACTCTTACTTCACAGAAATTAGGAATTTTATTGGAAACAGCAACCACAACAATCAATCCCCCCGAAACTCAGAAGAGAGGTAAGTTGCAACTGATCTGCCTTCAAAAGGGGCGACTTTTCCTTTTCCAGATTAAACTGATTTTTCATTTTTGATGAGTTATTTTAGCAATCTGGTTGCTTCAGTGTTCACCTCGGTGTCTTATGAAAAGAAACGTGTTGATTCCCTCCCCATCGTGCGTGAGCATATTCCCAGTGGCAGATGCTGGACGAAAGGTTCATCTATTAACACGTTTCTCCTTGTATCAGCTCTCAGTTTCAAGTTCCCATCGTTGCTCTAAGTCTCTTGAAAAATTCCCTCATTTTACATTCACGGCTGAACAGGTGACTTCTACATCCTGTGGCTAAATGTAGAGAGCCTTATGATTTAAATGCAATTTAAATGTGTGATTAATAAAGTAGACTAAGCTAAATTCTTGGATCAAATGAAAGATTCTAACGGAAAGTCCTTTCCCGTAAGTAACTCAATCCCAAGAAAGATGCTGACTAGCAAAAAGCCCGTGAGGCTGTGGGTAGGTGTTGGTAGTCCACAGTGCTCTAGCACGTGAGAGACTTTTTTCCTACTAAGATTTATTAAGTATATGAGTGTTTCAGTTCTTCTGAACTCACAGAACAGAGACCACTTCTAAATATTTTCAGCTAATAAAAATACAGCTAAGCAGAAAAGGCTGTAGCATGGATACACACATCAGCTATACATATTTCTTTGAGATTGGTTTTGCATTATGCATTATTTGCGCTTTTGAATTGGCATTACATTACATTATCAGCATCAAAAATTTCTTACTGTTGGTGACAAACTTCACTGTCTTCTCAATTTCCAGATGCCTTTGTGAAGGGATGAAAATGGTGGACATAACATAATTTCCACGAAGTATTGGATTAAGTGATTACATGCATATTCAAATTTCATTCCATCTTGATTGGCAATGAGGGCTTGGGATTTTTTCTTTGCACATCTGGTCTCAACATGTCCTCCGACAGGAAGTCAGCAAAGTGAAAAGGTTGCTGGGTTGTGCAGTGTTTCCTTTCTAAATTTGGCACTTCAGACTGCTCTTGATGGATATTTTATCCCTGGCAAATTGCTGCATTTGAAAGCATAATTAGAGAATCTGTTTGCTTAATCACATGGCTTTTGTTACTTTGGTTGTAGTCCATCTCCCTTTCATTTCTAGCAGCCTCAATTGAGCATAACAAGCAAGTTGGCAGCCCAAACGGCGCTCAACAATTTCTTATTTCTGCCTATTAAAATAAAAGATGATAAAGAGATACTGCTCTGATTATCTTAGAGGGGGGGTTGCTGCTTCAGCTCTCCCGACTCTGCACAGCCTCAGATTTTTTGATACTGTGAGATAAACAGACTGTTCCCTAGCTTTTTTTTAATGGAATACTAAACTCGTGACAATCAGCTGGAATTTGCTCAGAAAATAGATGAAACTATTATGTTTAGGAAAATGATGCTATTGTTGTAGAAGAAGCTAGCTTTCACTTGCGTATGCTCCGTAAGAAAGTCCTTCTGTTACAACAGCAAGTCCAACGCTAAATACCAAATACGCCGCTAGGGCTCATCCTTATCTTGCTCAGACTTTTGGTATATTCCATATTGTCCCGCACAGTTTGAAGCACACGAAGTCTAAAGCAAACTGCGGGCGGACAATAAAGTTTCCATTTTTATAACTGTATTCCTGGAAGAGCAAGGACCTTTTGCACAATGAGAACAATAGATGAATCAAGGCCTCCGTGCTACATAATGCAGGAGAGCAGATACACTGGTAGCATGAATTCACGTGGCTCCACCGTGCCCAGCCCTTCTCCACCACCAGTACCTCTGGCCACGCATTTGTCAATGTGGCGGCAGTGCCGAATTTCTTTAGCTCTCATTTGATGAGGCGGACACGATGCAGCTGCGGATGCTCAGAATCCTGCAGGGTTGAGGCCGTTAGCAAACGAGCCCCTGCTTCAGCGTGGATATTATGTCCTTGATAAAATCCTGTAGGAAGTAGTTAAAAGAAGTCATTGTCTGAAAGCAAAAGAGAACGTAATAACAGCGGGTAGACCAAATGGTTTTCCATGTGTGTATTGCTATAATTACTCATTTAATAAGAATAAATACACTTAAAATGCTACCTGACCTTTCTTTTCATTACTTCTTACCCTTCAAATAAGTCGATAATGTAGTTCAGTGTGGAGGCAGTATTGCAGACCACTCTTCAGGTCTTCAGCTGAAGTCCCTTAGGTTCCCATGTATGTAATCCATACATTCAGTGAAGTAGTATGGCTTCCAAATGGGTGGTAGCGTGCAAAATTAATTATGCATGTAATTTTGACTTTAAAACTGAATGCAGTATTGGATGTCGTTCTTGAAAATGCCGGATCTGATTTTCAGAGTTTCTTGGCCTCTACAGCTTCTGTTAACAGTCAATGAGTTGTTTTGCCCAGACTACATATATGATTGGAAACATGAGATGAAATAATGCGTGAGAAAATTTGGAATGGATATCTGAACATACCTCCTCTTGAACAGTAGTTTTAAGCTCCCAGGATGACAGGAAAATCCCATGCTGATGACACTGTAACGTCCCACTGATTTTTGAGTGGAATTTTCTCCAATACTGCCTAAACGTCTGAAGCTAAACAGATACAAAATACAGAAATTACTTTATCCTACTGGGGTGGATCCTTTTCAGATCTGCCTCTGACAATCCACTGGTGAAGAGGTTTCATAACTGATTTGTGATTATTGCTTGGGTTTGTTTTGGTACTTTCAGAATGAATGGCAGCCACTTTAAGGATGAAAAAGCCATGGTAGCCAGCCAGAACTCAGATTTGCTGGATGACGAAGAGGCGGAAGATGAAGTCATGATGGACGAAGAAGATGAAGAGAGCGAAATTGCAGGGAAAGCAGTCAAAGAGCCTGTTACGAGTGACATGCACGAGGGGACTCCAGAGGAGGACTACGACGAAACGAGTACTTTGGACATGAACTGCAAAGCTTCCCCTGGCAGGTTGGTTCCTTCCAAGTATTGGTGTGCCCGATACATGAAATAAAAACAATAAACCATACAAGACTGCCAGCACCAAACTGTGTGCCGTGGGAACCGGTCTGAAGTAGCCAGCTTCCCAGTTACAATAGCAACGTGCATCTGTGTTTGGGTCAATACCAGCCCTGTTTTCAGTCTCTTTGTGCAATCTGTAGCCCTTAAGAGGAAAAATAACTGTGCTCGGGGAGCTATTGTCAGGTTCTGGGTGAGACAGGAAGCGTTCATGGGAGAGACGTTATCTGCTCCGTAAACCGACCTGGATCTCCCGTAATGGTCTTGTGAAAGGCTGTGGAGACACCAGGAGAGAGACGACCTCTCCCTCCCCTGCTTCCGCTGCCCACCCTCTCCTCTTTAGCAAAAAAAGGGGAATTTCTTTTATTTCAGGATCACGGTTCCACAGGGCAAGGTAGTTTATGAATGTAAAAAAGGGGATATTGCCGAGATGTGTAAATCTGGGGGGACAAGGGAACACAGAGAGGATCCTTTAATTGACATGAAAATCTCTGTGGTGTTTTTGTAGGTATAAAGAGGAGGAGTATAAGACGACTGGACTTTCGGCTTTGGACCACATAAGGCACTTCACAGATAGCCTCAAAATGAGGAAAATGGAAGAAAATCAATATAGTGAAGCTGAATTGGCAGCTTTCAATACTTCCCAGCTGCCAGAGGACCTAAAACAACCGTTGTACAGGAAATCCAAATCCCAGGTAAAAGCTTAACTCGGTTAAAATGTTATTGTCGCCAGACACCCAAAGGATTAAACTGTTAGTGTGTGGCAGGCAAGGTCGTTTCAGCTTCGTCAGACAGGGCTGTGCTCCACGTCCGCAAACCTCAGCCTGCCCCGACCTCCCCCTGTGCTCCCACCGCACCAGGGAGACATGGTGGGATGCTCTGGCCCCTCATAACGGAGGACTTGCTTACTTTTTTGCTATTTTTGTTTCTGTCTGCCACCCGCAGAAATGCCATGGTAAGAAATAGTCCCGCTCTGCTTTCATACAGCCAGCGTGGTCCCACTGATGCCGTGCAGTTTAGCTGCAGCCTCGCCGGGATGCGACCCAGTCATTTGGCTGGCTTGGCTTTTTGGTGGTTTTTTAAAAGTCTATTGAATGTTACCTCCTCTAGGTCCTCAGCATGTTTTAAAAACAGCAATAACTGGACTGATGTCTTAGGGCTATTTCTTGATTTTTTTTTTAACATTAATTAAAATGGGTCTTTTTAGCCCCTTTGAAAGATTCCCGTTTTAAAAATTGCAGAATATGCCTGTAGAAAATGTCAGCAAAGGAGACTGTGGCATTTGGTAAAATACAGGCCCAGCCAAGGGATAATGTGATTCCTCAGGCTCTTGAAAAGAGCCTCTTGTGCCAAGAATCTGAAGGCAAAGGAGACTCTGGGACCTTGTCTACTATCAAAGGTTTCCCAGAGCTTCGTGAAGCCAGATGAAAGCAGAAATTATTATTACCGTTAGTGAGTTGAAAGTGTCAGTGAAAAGGTTGACAGTGGTTTTACCTAACGTGCTTTGATATTTTTAAATAAGTTGAGAATAGTAGTTGTAGCCTAAATGATGCCCTAACCGTGTAG